CAGAGAACAAAACGGCTACAGACTTGTGCCGAAAAACAAACAAATCTTAGGTTTGACACATCTAGTTTGTGCAAACGAAAATAAGATGCAAAACTATTTGACTAAACATTGACTTGAGTGGTCAATCAAGAGGATAGAAAAGATGCCCAGTCAGCTGTAATTTGAGGGTTGGTTAGCCAAAAACAAAAAGAATGAACGTAACTAAATATATAGGCCTACACTCTTAAAAATAAAGGTGCTTCACGATGCCATAGAAGAACCTTTTTGTCTAAATGGTTCCATAAAGAACCTTTAATATCTGAAGAAGGTTCTTTGTGGCGAAAGAAGGTTCTTCAGATTATAAAAAGGTAAGAAAGAGATGGTTCTTTAAAGAACCTTTGACTGAATGGTTCTTTGTGGAACCAAAAATGGTTCTTGTATGGCATCGCTTGAAGAACCTTTTGAAGCACCTTCACTTAAGAGTGTATAAAAAAAAGCATTCGGCAGAACTCTGACACTCTGTTCATGGGAAATCTGACACTTACACCTGACAAATTTGCATAAACACAATGAAAAGTGTTTCATGATCACAGTTCATCTCTTTTTTTCTCTGTCCCTTTTTCTCAAAGACACACATGCACACACATTTTTGAGGTTCGAACCCCAAAAGCCTCTACAATCATTTGAAGTTGCTACTCCCCAGGAATAATGCTGCTATGGCAACCATATATATAAAGGGTAGTTTGGAGGGCTTAGCATAAAATCAGCACTGATAGACAGGACAGCACAGAACCACTGCAGGGAGAAACAGGAAAGCGTGTTTGGTCCTATTGAAAACAGCAGCAGCAGGCGTCACCGCCTCGTCCCACCTGCATTTCTCAGGAGTGTATGAGCTATAATGCAGTCCACTATCTTTATTACAAGCTTAATGTGATAGAATGCCATCTATATGTTTTTTCCCCCACATAATTTTAATTACACTTCCTTATATTTTTTAAGTATTCATATTAAGTAAATGTATTTATTATTCATTAAACTTTAAAATATTAACAACTGTCTATTTAGAAGTCTAGAGAGAAGCTATACAATTTGTTCTCTTTATTAACACATTTTTAAAAAATTATTATATATAACCCAGGACCACTAAACCAGTCTTAAGTCGCTGGGGTATATTTGAAGAGTTTGGTTCCAAAACGCTATAAATCCATTTAGGCTAGATTCATTTGAGTAAAAATGTGTTTTCTTTACCAAGAAAGTGGCAAGATGAAAACCACTGTTTTCTGTTTCAAACTTTCACATAGCATCTTTAGGTTATAATAACATTACAAATTCAAATCCAGATTTAGATTTTCAAAGATTTATTATAAAATTGTATTATTGTTTTTTGCCAAAATGCAATAAATCCACGACACGTTTTTTTTTTCAACGGGTCATCTTGTTAATGCTATAAATTAATTACAACAATAAAATAAAATGTCATCATGAACAACAATATCACATGAAACCACAGAAATTCCAAAATGACATTTCCCTTACATTCAACTTCCAAAAGTGCATTAATCGTTGCCATGTTGCATTCGTTTAGTTGACTAGTGCTATAGGCCTACGCTGTATTAACAAAAACATTAATGGCATAAATAAGAACACTTACACTGACAAGCTACTCAATATCGCGCTCATAATCGACTGCGACTCATCTGCGATTATGAACGCGATACAGCAGTGATCTACGGCTCTGTGTATTAAATGCCGAGCTGGAGATTTACTGTTCACAGAACCTGCTTCTCATTGCTGTCTAGAGTGCGTGGAATGGTGCGCTGTGATTGGTTGTTACGGTTTACAGTGCGTGGAATGGTGCGCTGTGATTGGTTGAGCGGATATATCGCATTCTGCAGAGAAGGGAGACTGGCGTTTGTCGCGGTTTGGAAAAAAAGTGAGAAAACAAGACAGAATAACTCAGCGGATATCGCATTTTGCGTAAAATTAAAAATGGACTTTTCAATACCGACCAGATACAATACAGATTTTGGCGGAAACTCAAAAAAAAAAAAAAAAAGAGGCGTTTATCGCTATTGTATGGGTCAAAATAATCGATTTTTCTTTTATGTCAAAAAACATTCGAATATTAAGTCAAGATATTTTGCAAATTCCCTACCGTGAATATATCAAAACTTAGTTTTTGATTAGTAATATGCATTGCTAAGAACTTCATTTGGACAACTTTAATGGTGATTTTCTCAATATTTTGATTTTTTTTGCACCCTTAGATTCCAGATATTCAAATAGTTGTATCTGGCCAAATAGTGTCCCATCCTAACAAACCATACATCAATGGAAAGCCTATCTATTCAGCTTTCAGATGATGTATAAATCTCAAGTTCAAAAAATTGAACCCTTATGACTGGTTTTGTGGTCCAGGGTCACATTTGTTCACTGCTGTGTGTGTGCACTTTGGATGGGTAAATGCAGAGCACTAATTCCAAGTATGGGTCACCATACTTGGCCACGTCACGTCACTATATATGTCCAAAAGTAATTTATTCTGTGATACAAAGCTGAATTTTCAGCATCATTACCCCGTGATCCTTCAGAAATCATTATAATATGCTGTTTAAGAAACATTTTATATAAATACTGAAGCATCTATATTTTTCAAGATTATTTGATGAATAAAAAGTTCAAAAGAACAGCATTTATTTGAAATAGAAATATGTGTAATATAAATAAATAACATAACTGACACTTTTGATCAAATTAATGCTAACTGAATAAATGTATACATTTCAAAAAGTAATAAAACTAACAAATTAAACCTATAAAACATCCTAACAAACCATACATCAATGGAAAGCCTATCTATTCAGCTTTCAGATGATGTATAAATCTCAAGTTCAAAAAATTGAACCCTTATGACTGGTTTTGTGGTCCAGGGTCACATTTGCTTTATCTCATGTTATTCTATAACAGACACTGCACCACTGCACATGAAGGGTAAAACAAATAAAAGACAGCATCACATGACTCACAAGCAAGAATCACTCATGAAATACATTAAAATGACTTCCATTAAATTTTTATGTTTTTGAAAGAAGCCTCTTCTGCTCACCAAGGCTGCATTTATTTGATCAAAGATACAGTTAAAACAGTATTATTGTGAAATATTTGAACAATTTAAATTCAACAGAGCGTTTCAAAGCAGATCTGCAGTGATCAAAAAGTGATTTAGTGATACAAACAAAATTCAATTCTGCTGTAAAGCAGCTCTAAAGTAACTATTAATATTTGTGGGGGAAGTCGTGGCCTAATGGTTAAACCCATAGGTTACGGGTTCGAGTCTCGTACCGGCAGGGATTGTAGGTGAGGGGAGTGAATGTACAGCACTCTCTCCCACCTTCAATACCACGACTGAGGTGCCCTTGAGCAACTGCTCCCTGGGCGCCGCAGCATAAATGGCTGCCCACTGCTCCGGGTGTGTGTCATGAAATACATTAAAATGACTTCCATTAAATTTTTATGTTTTTGAAAGAAGCCTCTTCTGCTCACCAAGGCTGCATTTATTTGATCAAAAATACAGTTAAAACAGTATTATTGTGAAATATTTGAACAATTTAAATTCAACAGAGCGTTTCAAAGCAGATCTGCAGTGATCAAAAAGTGAATCAAAAATTCAATTCAGCTCTAAAGTAACTATTAATATTTGTGGGGGAAGTCGTGGCCTAATGGTTAAAGAGTCGGACTCGTAACCCATAGGTTGCGGGTTCGAGTCTCGTACCGGCAGGGGTTG